GGGGGGGACTGAGATGTTTGACGCCCCAATGTCATAGTTAGTCCGGCTACCTTCAGTTTTTGAATATTAATTTTTGGTCCGATTTACGCAAAACGAGCTTATAGTATCATGAAGTCTTGCAGCGGTATGCTTAGGTTTGGGTTTAATTTTGTTAATTATAGGATCCCAAGCAGGTGGCAGCATCTATCCATCTTCTCTATTGAAATTTGGATGTTTTTTTAATTTCAATAGCCTCGCGTATCATCCTTGATAGGAATCGGTGTTCTTTTGCGAGAATTTGTGGTTTATCAAATCGAATGTAATGGTGGGGACGATCTTGGACATGTTCGCAGACTGCAGACTTCCCGGAGCGTCGGTGCTTCACGTCCGCTATATGTTCTTTCACGCGGGTTTTTATGGATCTTTTTGTTTGACCTATGTAAGAGAGACCATATTCACAATCTAACTTGTACACTCCTGCATCTTGTAGAGGGATATTACACTTGACGGATGGTAAAAATTGACTAATCTTCTTCGGCGGCTTGTAGTATGTTTTAATGGAAGCTCGCTTCAAGATGTAGCCAACCTTGTCTGTGACTCCTCTGACATATGGTAGTACAGCAGATACACGTTCGACTGTGACCGGGTTCACTCGGTCACTGTGACGTAGCGGGACGTCGCGGGACCCGAAGCTGACCATAGTTTCATTGTCAATCCTTTATGTGTGCTCTGGTATGTCCTCTCAGTGGTGACAGTACTTTTGCCAAGTGTTGTGCCAGCTTATAAGTTGGTGAATCGATCTGGTTCACTCTAGGACGTAGTGGAGCGTTTGGTTTGTGTATCTTCGGTAACCCATACAACCTCGGTGGTTTGGTACATGATGGTATTGGCGAATTCAAGGTCAGTTTTGATGTTCAGTCACTATTCACATGCCTACCTATTGAAGACTGCATATCAATTGTAACTAGAAAGCTAGAATATAATAACATGCCTACTGAATATGCAGTATTACTCAAACACTGCCTCACATCTGGCTATACATTGTGGAAGGAAGAGTTCTACAAGCAAGTAGATGGTGTGGCGATGGGCTCACCTGTATCTCCCATAGTCGCCGACATATTCATGGAGGACTTCGAAGAGAAAGCCCTTCTTACTGCTCCTGTAAATCCAAGATTCTACAAGCGGTACGTATCCTTGGTAGGAATCGGTGTTCTTTTGCGAGAATTTGTGGTTTATCAAAACGAATGTAATGGTGGGGACGATCTTGAACATGTTCACAGACTGCAGACTTCCCGGAACGTCGGTGCTTCACGTCAGCTATATGTTAATTAACAGAATTAAACCCAAACCTAAGCATACCGCTGCAAGAATTCATGATACTATAAGCTCGTTTTGCGTAAATCGGACCAAAAATAAATATTCAAAAACTGAAGGTAGCCGGACTAACTATGACATTGGGACATCAAACATCTCAGTCCGTCCCCCCTCCCCGTGACCATGGGTGCTGTAAATCACCTGAAACGTCGGGAATTAAAAATAAGTTAAAGTAATGAAATAAACGCGATAAAATCCGTAAATTTAGTTTTATTCAACGTTTCATATGTTTATAAGTAAAAACAATAAAACAATTAATCATAAGCTATTAGCCAACAAACTTCGATGTGTGGGCGTAAGGTGAAAAATGTGCTTGCATTTCGCGTTTCATATATGGTAGAGCCACGATGCAGCAATATTATAGTTCCAGCACGAAAGGATCGGATCGACTATAGAATATTCAAGGTTTCACACAATACTAGCGTAAAAAGGAGCTTAATGCTGCTGTGTTTCGTATGGTAAGTGCCGACCGAAGTAACCGGAGACCTTTTTTACCTGGACCGAGGCATTCCATCTTATTCTTCAGGGGTGATAGCGCATCTGCATTTGATTCTTGATTGAGAATAGATGTCTTTGGGCTACAGCATCCTCATACTATCAGGTACACTGTATACTCGTTTGTTACCCTTATTTTATTAAATAAACTTTCGTAAAAGTATAAATAGCCTACATAAGCAATCCAATCAAAGAAGCTGCAATTGCGTTAATACCCTAGAGATACAAGATGTAGCATAGTTGGTTGAAACAAACAACACTGCTAAATAGAAGAAATTGGTAGTACCTAATAAGATTTTTACTATAGCATGTATGTGCAGGTGGAGAAGATCGAAGCTCACAAATAATACCAGCGTGTAATAGCGTCTTGATGATGACGTTATTTGTATAGTAAGTGTCGAAACCGTAAATCCTTTTTACTGCTAATGAGGGATTCCATTTTAGCTGTCATGGATGACAACTTGACAATGACTTTTAGTCGATGTGTTTTATATAGAATATGGTAAGATGGTATATTATGTAAAGATATATATGTTTCCTGATGGTAAGTGGATGTTGTGGCCCATAAGATCCACATTTATCCTCAATTAAAAATCAAACTCAGAGACATTGTTACGCAGAGACGACGAGATGGAATGCCTCGTTTCTATTAAAAAGGAATTCTCTATACTTACCATACGAAAAACAGCAGCATTAAGCTGAGATTTTACGCTGGTATTCTGTAAGAGCGTGGTCTTACACCGGCCGAGCCAACTCATTCATGCTGCAACCATAATATAGCTGCAGCGTGGCTCTACCACGTAAAAAATTAAATAAATGTAGATGTCTATAAGTAACAGCATCCACATAGCATCAGTTGATTATGTACTTGTTATTACAGTAGCTTCTTTATTTATGACTTTCGAAGTGGTTTAACACAAAAACAGTGTGTTAACCGGATATATTTGAAAAACCCATTTTCAATTTAATTGCTAAACGTTCTGAAAAATGAGATATTTTAAATAACTTAATATCGCAAAATAATTGAATAACATTTAATTATATACAAAAATGAAGTGGAAAAGGAACTTGCTATTCACCTGATGTTAAGTGGTACGGTTTAGGACCCGGGACGTTTCGTGTCTTGAAAGTCTTGCGACTTTTTCCAAATCTAACAGTCTCGAGTCCCGGAACTTTTGGATCAAGACTTGAGACATGCTTGTAGAAATTGAAATATTAGGCTACGACATATTTATGATTACTAAATCTGTTACATAATTTAATTATAAGCAGAATGTTTTTTATTAAGTACTTAAAAGAATCAAATATACGAAGGGGTTAGACTTTGATAAGCGTTATAAATATTAGAATTTAATTTTAAGTACAATAAATATTTATCTTCATTGAAGTTAATAGTTTATTGATACATTTCACCAAAATTTAACTCGAATTAAATTTTATTTTGAGAATTATTGAAGTACCGGAATATGGGAAACTTTTACAGTGGATTGTGCGGTGTGCTAAGACTTCGAGACTTTCGAGAATTGCTAAAATCTAGTATGTGGCTACCGCAGTCTATGCACCCCTGCATCCCTGCATCTTTTTCTTATATATGATAGGGTGAAAAACGAGCACACAGTCCACCTGATGGTAAGTGGTTGCTGTGGCCCATGGACATCTACATTTATCCTCGATTACGTATCAAAATGCAGATGTGTTGTCACCCGTGAGGACTAAGATGGAATGCCTCGTTTCCAGTAAAAAGGGTCTCCAGGTCTCTACACTCACCATACGAAACACAGCAGCATTAAGCTACTATTTTACGCTGGTATTCTGTGAGAGCGTGGTCCTTCCCGGTCGAGCCGACCCATTCGTGCTACAACTATACTATACTATTAATATAGCTGCAGAATGCCTCTACCACCTATATATCTAACAAATAAGGCTATATATTCACTTCTAAGAATTTCTATAAAATGCCTATATAGTTAAGACTGGTACATAGCAATGCAGGCACTACTATTTCGCGGTAGAAGGCAGTACCTACACGGACTGATCCCGAGGCAAAAAAGAAGTCTTGCCAGCTAGTTCAAAAGTACTTAAAGTGACTTACTGTACTTAAATCTTATCACACCAAGAATGTATGTGTTTGTTAAGATATATTTTGTTCCCATAATTATTATCCATAAACTTTAAAAACCATATGTATAGATTCAAACGAGGTAATAAATTGCGCGAACTGAAATAAACCTTTCGTATTTGATAACTTACGAATTACATTACCAGATAACGATGTCAGAATAGACAGGAACTTAATTTCACCTTGATCAATTATTGAAAGAAAAATGGAATATGTATATAAGTACAAGTTACAAAAGTATCTAAATGGTTAATTTGCTTATTATATTAGCCTGTAAAATATCATCTCTTTGACATGACTTTTCCCATAGCAGCGAAGATTGGCAAATATGACCATGCTTGTCAGGTAGATGGCAAAAGTAGCCCCCTTGTTTCACAACTTTAACGCTGCTAATCTAGCCAGTATATGTTAATATTAATTAACATCAAGAATACCACACAGGTCACAAGAGGTTCCAGGATTTCTTGTTGTTGTCAACCACAGGATGAGTTCATTAAATAAATTAAATACCCAGACCGGGAATGGAAAACAAATGAGGCAATTACGGAGATCCTGTAATGTATGATAACAGAGAGCCATATCATTACAATGTCGTGTTTATTTTTAAATATTTTTAATACAACAAAAGTCTAAATATTGATCATACAACAAAAAAATGTAATACTTCACATCCCTCTTATTTTAAGTACTACGCTCTGTCTCTCCGACTCTTGAATAGACCCGGCCCACAAAATAAAATGTCAAAGTTATTTAAACCTGCATCAATGGTCCAAAACATCATCTTTATTAAACTGTCGTAACATAACAAGTTTCTTTTTCTAGAGATTGAACAAAAGTGTAAAAATTTCTTGCCAGTTACTGAACTTTTGTTTGAATAAACTCGTCTACAAAAGTTGTAGTCCTTTCATGGCCAGTAATATTTCCGGTAACGCCTATTAAGTTGAACCTCTCCACATTTACGAGTACCCATATATAGCCTACGTTTGACTGAGTGCATCAGTGTTTCTTCAAAACAACATAGACCACTTACAAAATGATGAAGCTGGTGGTGTTGTCCTGCCTGTTGGCTGCCGCATCGGCGAGTCTCATTGCGCCCCTCGCTTATTCAGCACCATACGGGTACTACGGATACGGAGCTCCATTCGCCTACAGCGCCTCTCTTCTGGCGCCTATCTCGGACAACTACCGAGGTCCTCTATCTCTAGCTCCTGGTCAACCCGCTAACATTCTTGGTGCTGATGGAAGACCTCTCGATACCCTGGATGTCAACTTGGATCGTCTCGCACAACTGACCGCGCAGGCACTCGACAGTGGCTTTCATCATCTGAAGAAACGCTCAGTGGCGGGTCTCATCACTCCCCTCACTTATTCAGCGCCCTACGGATACTACGGATTTGGAGCTCCACTCGCCTACAGCACATCACTTCTGGCGCCTTACAACTACCGAGGTCCTCTGTCTCTGGCTCCCGGCCAACCCGCTAACATTCTTGGTGCTGATGGAAGACCTCTTGACACACTGGACGTCAACTTGGACCGTTCCGCGCACCTAACCGCAAAAGCACTTAACCGTGGTGTCCATTTTCTGAAGAAACGCTCAGTGGTGGCTCCCATCGTCGCTACTCCAGTCGCCCGTATTGCCACTCCACTGATCACCCCCGCTGTACCTCTTACCTACAGAGCACCTTATGCCACGACTGCTTACATTTCCCCGATTCCACATGCTCACTCTGTCTACTCTCACATCTACTAATTTTATCCGTTTACCCTGAAAATGTAAATACTGAAATAAACCATTGAAAACACCAATTAGAATTAATTTGAACGAAATCAACCAGCGACAGCATTAACCAAGATATTTAAACTGAATTCCATCTAGCCATTTCATCCATTACAGCCTCTCAAAGTCTACTGTGGAACTTGCCTGATTGCCACACAAGGGGGATATTTGCAATAGGTGCCACGCTTGGCAAGCAGGTTGGCGACTACGGTTTCTTTTCTAGTTGTTTTTAGGAAGACATCGCTGCCCATCTCCTGCTGCGTTAATAACTTTTGAATAATTTCTCGTTACGAAAATATTTACTGTACCTCCACTTTCGTAAAATAACGCATCTGATACACGCATCAAAAAATTTGAAGATACCTTACAATTGTGTTAGATAGATATGTAACATAATTTCAAGGTTCCTTTAGATTTTTCATTATATTCATTTTATAACTTCAATAAGGAATATTGTGTTATAGAAATAAGAACTAAATAACAAATCTGCTTAGGAAGAAGACGTAAACTTTTAAAAACGTTTAAGATGTCACACAAGTCAAATCATGTGTGTTGATTCACTCAAACAACTGTACGTAAAAGCATGAAATTGTGACAATATATCTCCGTTTGATTTCGTAGGCATCCTAAGAAACAATTTTATAAATTCAAACCCTCGGGGGGTAAAATAAGGTGTTACAATTTTTACAATACTTTTTATTTTATGGGGAGATTTCATATTTGTATGGCGAAAAATTATTAAATGACTTTGAAACTTGAAAATTACTATTAGTTTTGGGTTAAAAAAAGAAAATACACATTTAAAAAATATTTAAATCTGACTTTAGTGTTAATATGAAGCTGTAATGTGTGCATGAGAAAAAATAGCTTTCTAACTTACATGGTGGTGAGGATACATTTTAAATAAAATTATGACAGTTTTTGGTAGAACATATTTTCCAACTTTACAAATTGTGGGTCGATATAAATGTGTATTGGCTTAATATAATATATTTATATTAAGCCAAAAGGCTTGAGATTAATAACAAAGAAACACTTGATTCTATATTTTTAACAATTGTGCCCATCTGGGGATAAAGTTAAACATGATTTTTTTAAATTATTCTATGTTTAAATTATATATTTGACAATACTGTGACGAGTTCGATTAGAAAGGAACTACTTATTTATACATTTAGTAATCGACTTTAGTGTATAAATGAGTAGTCCCTGAACGGGCGCAAGCAACAAGCTTAACCACCTAAGTGGAATTAGTCACATTTCTTTGGTAATGTGCGACATACGAGGGCGGCACTGAAAATTTCGGGAATCAAGGACAGAACGTAACGTAGTGACACAACATTACGAGCTCGTACTATTTAAAAACGTATTTATTGCTTTTCGAAGTATTCTCCACGAAATTTGACACATTTTTCCATACGATGGAAACAATAATTGAAGCTACCATTCCATTCGGAAGTTGGGGTCTCCAAAATGGCCGTTTTGTAGGCGTCCACAGCTTCTTCAGGTGTTGAAAATCTCTGTCCACGCAATTATTCTTTATTTTGGGGAAAGTATAGAAATCATTATGATTATTATATAGGCTTAGGTCGGGGCTGTACGGCGGATGGTCTAATAATTCTATGTTTTCTTGCTCTAAAAACTCTTTTGTGCCATGTGAGAACTGGCATCGTCGTGATGGAGGATGATGCGGCAGTTGCAGTTCTGTTTACGGAGTTCAGAAACGACCTATGGCAAACAAATGCTAGCATACCATTCTGCATTAATCGTTCTTTGTCCCTCAAGAGGAATAGTCGTAACATGGCCGGTTTTGGAGACAAACGTGGCCACCATTTTTTTTACAACAATCAGTGAACGAACAATTTTTGTTGGCTTTAACTCATTTCCGAAAACCCAAACTCGTGTCTGGTTTTTTGTTTCGGGTCCGTACGCATATATCCAGGATTTTTCACCAGATACGATGTTGTATACAGCATTTGAGGATCCTGCGTGGAATCTTTCGAGACTTCTGACGCACCAAGTAACGCGAGCCGCTTTTTGCTCTTCACAGAGCGAATGCGGTATCCATCGGGGAAACAACTTTTTTGCACCTAATTGTTCATGCAAGATGATTTGTATTTGACTCATGCCAATGTCTAAAGTTGCCTGAACTTCGCGGTATGTCACATGTCGATCTTCCTCAATCAGCTTACGCACAGCATCAACGTTTTCTTGTGTGACTGCAGTTTTTGGACGATCTTGACGGGGATCATCACTGAGCTTGACACGTCTACGTTAAATTTTAGCAAACCAGCGATAAATTGTGGTTTTGGATGGGGCTTCATCACCAAATGCAGAAATCATCCGGTCAACACACTGTTTTTGTGTTAAACCACTTCGAAAGTCATAATAAATCATCGCTCTTGAATTTTCTCGAGTCAATTCCATTTTCTCAACGACTTTTAAAGTATGACAAAACCTTGTGACAAGACTTGTGAGAATCTTTTTTTAAATAAATAAATGGTATTCGATTTTTAAAACCAAGGAGTTTTCAATTAAAAAGATTTTAATATGACAGGAACAGTGGAAATATTCCATTCTCGATACTTGGATCCCTTGATCCCGATTGGTGGTTACGTTTGTGCCATCTGTTTCACCTGTACGCTCGACAGTGGTACAAATGTGACTAACACAACGCCCTCCGCCCGCTCGGCAACGTTACACATTAGAACCACTCATAATTTATGAGGGCGAACCCGGCAAAAAAAGGTTTGTCATTAAAATTTATAACAAATTTATACTGAAATGTATAATACAGATATAGACAAAGTCATACTCTTTAAGTTGGTACCATAATCTGTCAATTTTGAACTAAAAATAGACATAAAAATCATTCTGACGTAATGGCTTTTTACAACAGTAGGGCTTGGTAGTGCGTGAGCTATTGCTGAGTGATTTCTCCGTTTTTCTGTGTGTTTTTGAAATAAAAAGGTGAGTTTTATACTTTTGTGTATTCCGTGTAATAAAACAAACACGTAGATATATAATTTGTGGCATAAAAAGTGAAAAGTAAGTGTCAAAAGTACTTCGAAATCGAGAAGGCCCATTTTAGGGGTTGGGTCAAAAATGTGTTATTTTTTCCAATTCTCATTTATTTTTAGTGTAAAATGTAACTAAAAAATAGTTTTATAACATATTTCAAATAACTTGACGTTGTATTTATTTCAAATTCACACAAAAATATATTTGAAATATTATTCGGAAATCTCATACAGATAAAAATTAATTTCGTTTTTTTTTTATTTTTATATTTTGGTATGAGTAACGAATAGAAACACATAAAACATAAAAATATACATATTTCCAAACATTTTCATATAGATTTCTCCAAAAACAAACTTGTAGAATTCAAATTATTAGTAATTTTGGACTAAAAGTGAAGTATCTACTACTACTATGTAATAAAGGGTAAAAAAATTTTATTACAATTTATAGCAACTAAAAATAATTTTATTCGATAGTTTATACATTCAATAAGAATGCCTGTAAGTTTTATCCATAAATATTGTCTCAAAGTGAAAATATAGCAAATTTTGCAAGTTGCAAAAAAATTTGCAATTCCCGCCATTTTACGTCGCGAGCCAACAGGCGTTTCGAATAAAGTCCCCATACGAGCATACAGTAACTTTATTTTTTGGATTGTCCGCCCTTCATGGTAAAATAGGGGATGAAAGCTATTATAAAACTTTGATGCAGCCAATTTATCACCATTGTCTGATCAGGAGTGTGGTGCCACTCACGCTCCCTTCGAAGTAGCGTTCTGCACGCTGCCACCGTGTTTAGCATTAAAGCTCGGGGGGTTAGGACGAAATGCGATCATTCGTTGCTTCCTACCCATGAGAGCGGCTTTGCTTCTCGCTCGATGACACCAGCGCTTTTGCTGACTCTGTCACAGATGTGGTGCTACAGGGAATAGAATTATTTATTCCATCATCTGTGGTAATCATCGGAGACCAATCCCAACCTTGGTTTGATCGCTCCTATAGGACTGCATTACGCATCAAGCAGGAGTGTTATTAGGCCTGGGCTTAAGCTTCCGCGGCTAAAGAGTTATTTCCAAGGCAAAGTATGAGCTCATTAACAGAATTGGCGAGAAATTAGTTCACTTTCCTTCGGAAACCCGTGCGTTCTGGTCTCTCGCCTAGGATGTCCAATGGAATTTCTGTAAGCCATCACTAACATCTCTGCATAAGGAGGACGGCTCAATGACCCACGCTGCAAAAGAGAAAGCTGATATTTTAGGCTCTCTTTTTGCGTACAACTTGACTTTCAATAACCGGGGGAACACACCACCGGTCATCCCGTGTTGTGAGTGCTTCATGCCTGATGTGAAATTCACACAGTGCTCACTACGTAAAGCACTCCTCTCTCTGAACATGTAAAGTCGTATGGATCTGACGGAACCCCCCCCAGATTGTACGGAGCACGTGTGCTGCACAGTTGCACCCGCAGCACCCGATCCCTTAAAAAAATAACCGCTCTGGTCCGTCCAACTACAGGCCTATCGCCATTTCCTCCTTGTTCTCCAAAATAATGGAGTCCATTATTAAGAGCCTGCTCATGTACATGTCAGTACGGTTTACGTCGGGATCACACAGCTAGTGATCTTCTTGTTTATCTAACACACCGATTGGTGAAGGCAATTGAGTCCAAGGAGAAGGCTTTGGTGGTTAGTTTGAACATAGCGAAACCCTTCGATCGGGTTTGGCACAAAGCACTTCTCTCGAAGCTTCCTTCCAAAAAAATTGTGCGATTGGATCACCAGTTTTCTGTCTGGACGGAGCATCAAGCTCGTAGTAGAAGGTGCATGCTCCGATTGCAAGCTTATTAAGGCTGGAGTGCCACAGGACTGCGTGCTATCAATGCTATTGAAATGAAATGAATGATTTTTATTAAATATAGATTATTGTATAATACTTATTGAAAGTCATTTTTTATTTACCACTAGTTCGCAAAAAAACCTTTGTTCGGAGAAAAACCAGCAAGAAATCCATTGGGACCTTTATTAACCATATATCAAATTACAATAAATGTATTTTGTACAATTATTTACGAATTTTTATAGAACCAGCATGGTGGCCATCACCTCATTCCCAGGGGTGGATTATCATCAACATAGCTGCATCCGATGAAACCACTGAGAAAAGGTACTTTGCCCACTTGTCTTTAGGAGTCTCTTCTACGGCATTTTGAAACGCAGCCACTGCTTCCTCGGCGTCCATAAAACGTTTTTCTCGAAGTTTTTCTTTTATTTTCGGAAATAAATAAAAATCGCAAAGTGCGAGGTCTGGGCTATAGATAGGCTATATCTGGGCTGAGCTATAATATATATATTTGTATGTATATATATATATATATATATATATATATATATATATATATATATATATTGTATATATATATATATATATATATATATTTACCGCCATCGCCAACGGTGTGCGACGAGGCGTTGTCGTGGTGAAGGAGGATCATACTGCGAGGTCATTTCTTCCGAACTTTTTCCAAGACAAATGGCAAAAAATTGTAAAAATGTACCACTCTGCAGTAACTGTTTTTCGATCCTCTTAAATAATTGTCGCGTAACGACCTGTCCTTCCGAAGAACGACGCCACCATCTTTTTTCGCACGCTTCGATCTCTCTTCACTTTAGTTGGCAACTCCTCGGTAGGAAACACCCAGACAGCAGACTGTCTCTTAGTTTCAGGATCATAACAATAAATCCAGCTTTCGTCACCCGTAAGTATGTCGAACACAGCATTTGAATCTCCTCCGATAAATCTTTGAACCATTTCACGACACCAATAAATACGACGAAGTTTTTGCGCCTCTGTCAAATTATGAGGTATCCACAGGGCACAAAGCATCCTGACAGATAAATGTGCATGCAGGATTTTGTGCACTTGACTCATACCGATACCTAAGCTTGTCCGAATCTGCTGATAAGTCACTCTTTTGTCAGTCTCTATCATAGGCCGCACAATACTGATATTATCGTCAGTCGTCGCCGTAGAAGGCCGTCCCTCACGCAGATCATCGGTGAAATTAGTGCGATCACGTTTATACTCATTATACCAGTTGTAAACAGTGGCACAAGGTGGGGTTTCATCGTGAAAGGCCAATCAAAGTCTATCATAACAGACTTAAATGACGTCGAAAGTCATAAAAAATTATTGTACGAAAATTTTCTCGCTTTGTATTCATGATAACGTGACACAAACAATTTTCAATTTGCCGCCAAATCGTAAACAAATGACAAATTAATAAAATACATACACAAGTAGCCAGTTCTAAAAACCTTCAATGTCGCCCTCGTATCGATCGATATCAATAGAATGTCGTGTTTATTTAATATTTTTAACGATTAGTAACTTACATAATTTTATTGCATGTACATGAGGGTATAGAATTCTGCTCTGTAATTGAACTTTTGTTTAATAACATTCGTCAACAAAAGTTGTTATCCTTACATGCCCAGTAAAATTTCCGGTAACGCCTATTACGGTGGGCCTCTTACATCAACGAGTACCTATATATAGCCTACGTTTAACTGAGTGCATCAGTGTTTCTTCGAAACAACACAGACCACTTACAAAATGATGAAGCTGGTGGTGTTGTCCTGCCTGTTGGCTGCCGCATCGGCGAGTCTCATTGCGCCCCTCGCTTATTCAGCACCATACGGATACGGCGCCCCATTCGCCTACAGCGCGTCTCTTCTGGCGCCTATCTCGGACAACTACCGAGGTCCTCTATCTCTAGCTCCTGGTCAACCCGCTAACATACTTGGTGCTGATGGAAGACCTCTCGATACCCTGGATGTCAACTTGGATCGTTCCGCACATCTGACCGCGAAGGCACTCGACAGTGGCTTCCATCATCTGAAGAAACGCTCAGTGGCGGGTCTCATCACTCCCCTCACTTATTCAGCACCCTACGGATACTACGGATTTGGAGCTCCACTCGCCTACAGCACATCCCTTCTGGCGCCTTACAACTACCGAGGTCCTCTGTCTCTGGCTCCCGGCCAACCCGCTAACATTCTTGGTGCTGATGGAAGACCTCTTGACACACTGGACGTCAACTTGGACCGTTCCGCGCACCTAACCGCAAAAGCACTTAACCGTGGTGTCCATTTTCTGAAGAAACGCTCAGTGGTGGCTCCCATCGTCGCTACTCCAGTCGCCCGCATTGCCACTCCACTAATCACCCCCGCTGTACCTCTTACCTACAGAGCACCTTATGCCACGACTGCTTACATTTCCCCGATCCCACATACTCACTCTGTCTACTCTCACATCTACTAATTTTATCCGTTGACCCTGAAAATGTAAATACTGAAATAAATCATTGAAAATACCAATTAGTATTAATTTGCATAAAATCCACCAGCGACAGCATTAACCAATATATTTAAACTGAATTCCGTTTCTTCATTCTAGCTGTTCCATTCTAGCCATTTCATCCATTACAGCTTCTCAAAGTCCACTGTTGAGTTTGCCTGATTGCCACACAAGGGGGATATTTGCAATAGTTGCCACGCTTGGCAAGCAGGTTGGCGACTGCGGTTTCTTTTCTAGTTGTTTTTAGGAAGACGCCGCTGCCAAGTGTTAATTACTTTTGATCAATTTCTCGTAACGAAAATATTTACTGTATTTGTCTGTACTGCACTTTCGTAAAATAACGCATCTGATACACGCATCAAAAAATTTGAAGAAACCTTACAATTATGTTAGATAGATATGTAACATAATTTTAAGGTTTCTTTAGATTTTTCATTATATTCATTTTATAACTTCAATAAGGAATATTGTGTTATAGAAATAAAAACTAAATAACAAATCTGCTTAGGACGAAGACGTAAACTTTTAAAAAGGTTTAAGATGTCAAACAAATCAAATCTATTTATATGAAAGAAGATGACCTGAGTGACTCATTTATCAACACACAGCTCCAACAACTGGACGTAAAAGCACGAAATTGTGACAATATATATCTCCCTTTGATTACGTAGGCATCCTAAGAAACAATTTTATAAATCCAAACCGTGGGCGTGAAATAAGATTACGAAAATTATCACTAATAGTTTTGGGTATATATAAATAAATAAATAAATAAAAATACACATTTAAAAAAAATCTAAGTTTGAAGTTTCAATATGAGGCTATATTGTTTGCGTAAGAAAAAATAGCCTTCTAACTTACATGGTGGTGAGGATACATTTTAAATGAAATTATAACAGTTTCGTGTAGAAAACATTTTCCAACGGTACAAAATGTATTTAGGCTTGAGATTAGAAACAAAGAAACACTTGTTTCAGTATCTTTAACAATTGTACCCTAAAGGGGATAAAGTTTAAAATTAAATTTTATTTGAAATTATTATATATTTGACAACACTATGACAAGCTTTCGATTAGAAACTTAGTTACTCGTATTTTAGGATCTCTACCCTTAACGGCAGAAAATAGGACAAAAGCTGTTATAAAATTGTTGATTTTGATGCAGTTTACAATTTATCTATATAAATAATATATTAATCGTTATTGTACACATTGAACAAAAAAATAAGATTACATAATTTTCAACTAACGATATCTTAAATTTGTCAACGAATTACAGTTGAAAATATATTTGTTATCTGACTTTTTATATCAACAAGCCTTTACACGAATTTGAACCGGTTATGTTACCAAAAACACAGTAAATTAAATAAAAACAAATCGATGCCCGCAGCTGGAGTGCGACAATAAGATTTACTGGAATTTGAGGGAATTTTTGACGACTCAGTAAAAAATTAAATTAGACATGACATAAATGAATGTTATTTCCCTATTCAGTCCATTATGCTATTTCCCTCCATCGTACGATGGGTGTCGTAAGAGGCGTCAGAGAAAACTGAAACAGGATATGGGCAGCAACATCATCCCGATAACTTATAATAATAAAAAACTGCAGATGCCAACCCGCATGTCAATCGCAACAGTTCCAACTTTGGGAACCCTTTCCTATCAGGCAGTCTATGGTGGAAGCCTATGTTTAGCAATAGACTTCTTAAGCTGTAACGGGATGGAATAAATAATAGAAGTAATAGAAATTAAAAATATCAGCATCAAAAAATCTGAGGATTGCGCACATTTATTCTAAAGCTTTCCATACTTTTCCACATTAATGATTAACAATTCAAACTTTTCTTTGTGTCACAAAGGCATAAAGTTACTTACCATAATAATATACTAGACATATATTAATCATTAGTTGTCCTGCAAAAGTAGTCTCTTCACGGTCGTCATTGCATTCTGGTGACGACTAACAACATATTCTGAGAATGCTAGTATATAAAGGGTTCGATCGAGATCATAGCATCAGTGTTTTCTCGTCCAGTTAACGACACAGACCACTTTCAAGATGATAAAGCTGGTGGTGTTGTACTGCCTGTTGGCTGCCACGTCCGCGGGTTTCATCGCACCCCTCGCTTACCCCGCACCACTTGCCTACAGTGCAACTGTTCTGGCGTCCTCCAACTACCGTGGACCTCTGTCCCTGGCTCCTGGTCAACCTGCTAACATTCTTGCTGCTGATGGCAGGCCTCTTGACGTGAACTTGGACCGCGCTGCTCACTACACCGCAAAGGCTCTGAACAACGGTTTCCATCTCCTGAAGAAGCGTTCCGTCATCGCGCCCATCATAGCTGCTCCCATCGTTCGCATTTCCTCCCCCGCTGATCACCCACACTGTGCCTCTTACCTACTCTGCACCTATACTTGGCACCGCTCACGTTGCTCCTCTTGCGTATACCCACACAGCAGTCACTCATGTCTAGTAAACATCAAAAACAAGAAATGTAATCAAATTTATAATACATTAAATAAACGAATTTGGTAAATATATGATAAATACTTCATTTATATTATGAAATAGTGACCTCTTAGCTCATAAAAGTCCAAAGGTGGACTGGAAATATTCTATTGTCTCGAAGTGGTTTGAGTTAGATTTGTTAAAATAGGGCTAATTCGTTGGCATCCTAGCAAGCCATCTTGTCTGTTTCAATTTTTTTTTTAAATTACAGTATCCACATGGTCTTATCATACGAGTATTAACTAGGCAGAAAAAGAAAAATATTTTTTTTTACATAAAACTGACTTCAAATCTTTGCCCACACTACTACAACCTTAAAAATAATATTTTTTGATTGTTAAAAACATTGAGCTATTACGTACTACGAACTAGAGGCGACACTGCATTCAGCTACTCTATTCCACTCAACTGCGGATGCACCGCACTTTGATCAGTCACTCGCTGGGCGCTTATAGAGTTGTCACGTGTTGTGTTGATTTAAAAAAAATCTCTTGATAAAAATATGCCGTCGTGTGTACTTAGATATTGCACAAATAATTCAAGAAATGTCAGTAAAAACCAAGGAATTACTTTTCATCGGTTAATAAGATACTTAATTAATAAAAAAAAGTATTATGTATTAATAATAAAACAAATTATTCCTAAGACGCCATCTCGTGTCAGCGAATATAGATTATGAAATTAATATGTTCAGATGCAACATTTCTCTGGGTACTTAAATATAGGATGAATATACTATTATATACATTTTTTGTAGAAAAATATATAAGTTATTATAATATGGTAAAATGTTTCATGTTTAAATCTGCTTATTATTCTTTTATTTTATTTTTAGGTTTCCACATCAAGGTCAAAGTTGTATAAATTCATCCATTTTTAACTCTCGCGTGCCCAACATTTATGAACTTTTGTTGTAATTTAAATAAATATAGTTGTAATTTAAATGTTATGTTAATAAGTTTTGTTAAACATACATTTAGTATGTTTTTTATATTTGACTTAGATACCTTTTAAAATATTCAAATAAAAATATCATTAAATCGTAGTTGTGTAAATGACAAAATTTAAATATTGTTCTCGATATAATTTACCTATTTAACAATAAAATCTACTATTACCTACGGGTCATTCTACCTATGTTTACTCTATGATAAAAAAACAACCGCGCGAACACAGAGTAGCGCACATTTTTTAGCTGATAGCAGATAGCTGTTCTAGTACGTAAGTACATATTACTTCAATGTTAAAAAATGAAAAAAATTGTAAGGAAAATATACGCATTACTGTTACTTAAATATTTATATTACCTAACCAGTAATATTTGAAACCTTTTCATCTAAAATAACCACTTCATTTTCATTCTTTATACGTGGTAGAGCCATGATGCAGTTATATTAATAGTCCGTTTTTGCGTAGGTTGCACGGTTCCGGAGATGTGCAGATCAATTAACTCTTATCTAATTGATATCCGGTGTGGGCCTCCACCGTCATTAGCGTCATACCGTCATTCCTATCTACAACACTAATCTGAATCATCAATAAAACACATTACCTAATTTTCTTAAAATTTTTATTTACAAAATACAAAATCTTATTACTTATTATCTATACAATAGGAACGAAACATCTCATCCACTAAAATATCGTTGTACAATGTGTTCCCTGTAAATATACTCGTAAAACTATGTTTTGAACATCCCTGAAACTTATATAGCATATACAATTCCTTTTTAAAAACTCTAGATGATATCGTATAGGTGCTCGTCCATATGAATCAAAATATTGACCGACGTCATTCGTATCGATATATAAAGCTACCCAATGTGACCCTGGTTTATCAGCTGTATCCAAATTGCATATTATATAAGTTGGTACGTGGTGTACATGGGCAGTCTATTGGCAGCATAAACATTATTTTCTAGAGTGGGGTGAATCTTTTTCAGATGTTGCTGTACATCTAGTGTATCCATGATATTACTGCTATTAGTAGATTATTACAGTACCAATCTACTCAATGACTAACATAGGAATGATCAATTATAGTGATTTCTAAATATTAAATTGCATTCTTTTGTATTATACAAAACGTATTTGAGTCATCAATATACTGAACAAGACGCAACACGAAGGACGAAGGAATGCTGAGATAAGCAACAGAATGTGAGATAAGCTTGTTGACGCATAAAGTTACTATCAATTCCACTGCAGAAATTATTTAGATTAGAATTATTACTTACTGGTACTATATAAGACCGCGCAACTGTAGTCATGGAGTTAGTGTATGGTCGTTTGACCACAGTGGATCTATCAATACTACATTTGAGTTACTTCAACGCATCAAAGGTCATGGATGTAAGTGTTTATTCTATTGACAAACTTAATTTTCTTTCTGTTATTTTCTTATGTGTGTAGTTAGTGTTAACAAATTATATTTAAATATTATGTGTGTATATTATTAAGCCGTGGTAGCTCATATTAGGTTAGCGCATGCTGTAAATTTCACAGTACAAGATCCGGGTGCGATCCCCGCCGGCACCAATTAAATTGTTAATTGCAATTTTAAGTGCTGATTTACCACGTGCTCAGCGGTGAAGGAAAACATTGTGAGGAAACCTGCATGTCTGAGAAAATTTCGAAGGCATGTGAAGTTCGCCAACACGCATTGAGGCAGCGCGGCGGACATTTCCTAGCCTTAGGGCTACCCCTCAGAAATATACTAACCCTCTCAGAAATGAGAGGAGGCCTATGTTCAGCAGTGGACTTTAATAGACTGTAACTTTAACTTTTTTAACCTTTATGATTAAGTGTTAACAAATTGATATTAACATGATAACTGTGTTGTTGCAGAAATCATTGAGCATCGATGGAAATACCTATAAACAGTATTACTACTCGCCACTCTCCCCTCAAGAAGAGAGTGATGACATCGTCATTAATAATAACACATGCGATGGTGTAAAAAGAAAATCGCAATCGATTGATCATTTTTTTGAAGCTGAATCAAAAATAAAAAAGAGGAAGTTGTTATCATCAACCGTAGCACGAGCCGCTAGAGATGGTGTATCATACATTTCTACTAATTCTGACGACAGAGACCAAGCGACGCATCTCATCAAAATTGAAATATACGATATGAAGAAGCTATCCAAGATTCCAACTACTGATCATTGGAAATATGCTTCCACGATGATTAAATATTACGTAAAGACTAATAAGGATAGCATCTACGACAAGACAAACGCCCTCGTATACAATATTACAAAAACAATAGCAGAAAGTGAAAAAGTTAAAAAATACTTTTTTAACAATGACAGTCATTAGCTAATCATTAGTGAATGTGATTCTGTTTACTTAAATTACTTCTGTGTACTCATTATATTCTATTTCTAATCCTTTGCTAGTTACTTACTCTGCTACCTATTTTCTTCTTTACTTTAAGGATGGCAAACTTCAGTGAAGTGTGCACCAGTGCTTTCTTCTCCATAACCATGTAAGAGAATACGGAACTATTCAACAGCGAATTAAATCAGGAGTTGTCTAAAGTTTGTGATGAAATGGAGAAGGATCAACTGTTCGATTCATCGTATGATGATGAGTTGTATAATCACTGTGCGATGGTTGAAACACAGTTTAAGTAAGTAAAATAAACATTCATTTCGATCATAATTTATTTATTTTATTTTATTCTTTATTGCACCAAAGATTTTGTACAAAAGGCGAGCTTAATGCTATATGGCATTCTCTACCAGCTAACCTTGGGTAGAACAGAGAGTGAGTTATGGGCAGTAAAGATGTCATGATCTCATTCAATTCAAAATGTACATGCTACACATACATATAATATATATATAAACATATATATTATATACACTTACAAACACATACATATGTATATACATATATATATACATATATACATACACATATACATATATAAATATATATCTCCATAAATTTATATACAAATAACTATAAACATAAAGTAAGTGGACTCAAATTTGTTGGTTACGGATATATTCGTATAGTTTTCTTTTAAACACGTTTTAGCAGGTATTATGCGCAGGTCAACAGGCAATTTGTTCCAGAGGGAGATGGAAGTTAATGTGAAAGAATTTGATATAAACCCAGAATGGTGGAGAGGAGTAGACAGTAATAAATTGTGTGAAGACCGGAGATTGAGAGAATGAGTATCACTACGGAATTGGAATCTTTCTTTTAGGTAAAGGGGTGAGGAAGAATCATTAAGAACTGAAAACAGAGAGTACAGCATTCGAAAATCTCTGCGCTGGCGTATAGTCAACCACTTTAATTGGGAGCGAAATTCTGATACGTGATCGTATTAGCGCAGACCAAAGATGAATCTTATGCAGTTGTTAAGTAACCTGTCCAACCTGCTTAGCAGCTCCTGAGAGATATTAGAAAGACAAACATCGGCATAGTCAAATAATGGAAGAATTAGAGATTAGATGAGTAGAAGCTTACTTGAAGGAGGCAGAAAGAACTTAAGACGATAGATGGAACGAAGTATGCCTGTGACTTTACGACAAATCTCGGACACCTGTAACCTCCAACTAAGGGTCGGGTCAATAATTAAACCCAGATCCTTGACACTAGCGCGGAAAGGAATTACACAGTTTTCATAGCAAATGGATGGTAGATCAGGTATGTTAAGTTGTGACACCAATCGACGACTACCAATGATAATAGTCTGGCATTTACTGGGATTTACCGTTATACCAAATCGCTGTGACCAGTCTGAAATGCGTTGTAAGTCCTGATTAATAGCTGCAATAGCGGTAGCAATTTCAACCGAGGACGCTTGTGAGTATAACTGAAGATCGTCAGCGTATAGGTGGTAAGAACATTGAAGGTGGGTAGTTAGAAGATTGATAAACAACGAAAACAAGAGAGGAGAGAGAATGCCGCCTTGCGGTACACCTAGATATAGATCGCACCAGTCGGAAAAATCCTGACCAGCCCGAACAGCCTGCTGGCGACCGCGAAGATAAGAAGAAAACCAGTTCAGT